AACGCACAGCCCGCAGGGTACACCCTTAGGGGTACCACGACCGTAGCCTTTAGCCTTTCAAAACCTCACAGACCTTAGCCCTGCGCAAGCTCGACATATGGTTTGCTGGAGGAAGAACAACACCCACACGTGCATCTCGGCTCTCATGCAACCAATATGTTTTGCGGCTGGAAGAATGGTTCGTCGTTCCCTCGGCTTACGTAGTTCCTCAGGCTGCAGTATTGAAAGCCACTTAGCCATTTCGCAATGATCTTCCAGTGGGGCCACGGCCGTTGACAAAACCTGCGCCTTGAGAAGTCGTCCAGGAGCTTTCTACACCCATGGCGCCGCTGCGCGCTGCAGTCGATGCAGGCGCCAATGGATTACACGGCCCAAGCAAAGAAAGGCCTCCAAAGGTGCTCCAGCTGCTTGGTATGCGTTCTCAGAAAAACCACCTTCACTGAGCCGAGGTTCTTTCCTTCGACAGTTTCAAACACACTCTCAACACTTGCTTTCAACATCTTTCAACGAAGACTCCAACACGCACATCTAAAGGCCCCGCTACAAAACCCACCGGTCGGACGGCCGGAGCGCTCTCCGACGTGTGGCTGACTAACTTGAGCCGGGGGGCTGAGTTCCGAAGGAATCCACCGGCCCTGACTTGTCTTTCATAGGATTGTATCACTCTGGTTTCAATTTCCCAGAGAGGGAAGGGGAGGGGGTTAAGGGGGGGGGGCAATCCTATGAGTCTCCTGTGGTTGGTCCATCGCTGCGGACTGATCAATGCATTTTGCCTTGGATTCATCCCAAAACTTCGCCGCGAGTTCAAGCAAACCAATGAGGAGGACAGCACTTCCAGCATCCAACGTGCGTTTGGGCTCGACGGCATTCTGCAAACAGGCTCAACCTAGGTTGAATGTATGAACCCATATGTTGACCCCGGCGATGAACCCCTATTTTCTCTGTCCTCTGATTGGCCATGAGTTATGGCACAGTTGTGGCCTACCCATGGTAACTCAGTCAAAGGGTCCCCAAATTGCAATGTGTTCATATTATACCCATTCGTGCACTCGGCCTTTCACAATCTCTGTCTTACACCGTAACTTACACCTGTGTAGGCTGCAGGTCGTTTGCTTTTTGCAAGAGGCGGGCTGGGTTCGTAACACAAGTTCGGAACTGCAACCCCCTTGGACGCCCCTCTTTTACACTGGTGGGTGAGAAGCCTATGCCGCCTTCAACGCAGGTGCCCAAACGGGTTCTTCCTGACTGACATCTTGAAGCGAGATGGCAGTTCAGACCGTCACAAAAAAAAGTTGAACCACAACCAAGGCCATCTTCCCTTTGCAAATCGGATCTCCCCCCTGGAAAGAGTGGGATGAGATTCCTCCAATTTGAATCATTGAACGGTGCATTTGTCCGCTTTAAAACAGTATCTCCCCCCCCCCTCGAGTAAATCAGAGAAAATGGTACGTTCCCTTTTCCAGGTTCCGCTGGAAGCAGCGGAAGCTTGTCCGGGTTCCTGAAAGGATGCGTCCAGGGAACTAATTGAAATAAACTGGCAACTGGATGATTTGTTCAGAGGCCGAGTGTATCCTTTGGCCCAAATCTGGGGTGCACTAAAATAATACTGCTTCATATTGGGTATGGGTCAAAACTAAACCGCCAGGGGACCGCAGGTTTTAGTCGTTGGTTCCATTTACCAGGGTTCCATTTTGGGTACACATTTTTGACCCGCAGCCATGTAGTCTACCCAATCTAAACTGTTTTCCACCCCTGGCAAGGGGACCCTCACTCGCGCTCTGCTTTTTGCTGGTGAAACTGGCCAGGGACCCGCGAGCTCCCGCCGAATGCTGTGGGTAGAGCTGCGCGCCTTTCAGCTTCTTGTGCCATAAAAATGGTTTCCTCTTGGGGCGAACCTCCCACTGCTATAAGAACACAAACGCGGCCAAGATCTTCCGCGATCCGCATCTCTGGGATGTGTTGCATGCGCTGGGCCCATCCTCGAATTGACAGTCGACTCACTTCCTGGGTGGATTGGATCGAGCAAGTCTAAACCAGTTGTTTACCACTAAAATCATCTTACCAAAACGTACCAAAGCCCGGAACCCCGTGAAGTGAGTGACCGTCAGCCAAACATGGCGCCCAGCACACTCTCTGCCTGAGGCTCACCCTTGGCTGGAGGCTTCTTCTTCTTCTGACGGCTTCAGCACATGGCCACCAGTCCCCGTCCCCGCAGAGTTCGGGGGCAAGGCCCACCAATGGCTTCGGGCCAAATCGGCTCGTCTTTTCAGCCACCAAATTGTGAAAGGCTCCTGGCCTTACATTTGACTTGGTTGCTGTTGACCCCCCTGCAAAAAGTGAATAACTTTTTTGGGGTTAAGTGGAAAACACCTTTATTTCCCAAAAAGTGAAAGTCTAAAGATCCAACCCAATAGCAGCCAACTTGATTTCCCAAACCTGTCAAGCTTGCCTTCAACTCACTTCCTGACTGGATCAGCCTTTGGCCGTTTCCGCCAAAATGATCTTCAAAACAGCTGTAAAGTCCAGAAGCTTGTGGTTCAGTCCAACAAGAATTCAGCAACCATAGCTTGAAGAGTAAAGCGGCCGGCTCGACGCCAGGCCGTCCAACGCGGGGGAAAGACGATTCGAAGACCCGACGGCGAAGCCACACCCTCCCGAAAGTAAACCATCACTCATGTTAAGACTTTGAGACACTCCCTCTATGAAAGCAACCTTCACAAGGTTGCACAACCTCTTTGCGGGGTAGCCTATTTTGCCTAGAAAACTTACAATGTGCAACAACCGGACATCGCTTCCAAAAAGTAAAGTAAAACCCCCTATTGTTGAGGATATTCCATCATGTTGAGCTCTTCTTGTACAAACAAAATAGACCGAACTTAGACTGGCTACAAGACTTACCCTCCCACCAATTACGGGGGTCCTTTTACGTTAATTGGTGGGAGGGTAAGTGGCTACTCGTTGAAAGGCAAAATTGAGGAACCCCCAACGAACGGCAAGCAGTGCAAAAGCAAGACAAAGCTATTCTTGTTAGGCCTGCCAATGACCAGGCCTAGAAAGTGGTAGTCTCATGTCTAAAGGCTAAGAGATGAATTGTCCTTCGCTACCGCCGAAATCGAGAAACAAGGTCGAAAGGCCAGCTTTGCGCTTGTCTCGAAATGGAGGACCCCTCAGAACGAGTAGTTTTCCAATGGTTTTTGTTCGGGTGGTTTCCGTTCGGTGTCCATTTTGCATCCCCAAAACGGGAATCGTCAAACAAGACGATTCCGCGTTGCCTTTCAAAGAGGTGCAAGCGCTCGCATCACTTTGGTTCGCTTTGCTGAACAAATCCATAGGGGTCTTGCGACCAACCCTGGGACACGCACACGCGAGTCAGTATCGCCGTCTCTAGGCAACCGAAACACATGCTCCCGAAGGACCTGGAAGTCAGAGCGGTCTTGCAAAGTTCTCCCTGGGAAACCCAAAGGCTTCTGGGCAAGCAGCACGAGACTGACTGGATCTTCCCATGGCCTTGTCTTTGACAAAGGCCAGCTCCAACGGCCTCTCGTCATCCAGCAGCTTTTTCAGCTTTTCCTCCAGGCAAGACACGCTTAGCACAATAGGAGGGAATTCCAGTTCCCTTCCTTTTCAGTGGATCTTACTTCCCCCCCCCAACAAAAAAACAAAAACAAAAACACAGCAGAAACCAGGGAACCCACTGGTGCTTGAAAAGAGCGACGGCTGAAAAGCAGGAAACATCAACCATGGCCAACTCTCAACCTGCGACTGGCTGCGAACTATCGGGGGGTTATTGCTTGGATTGGCATGCGAGTTGCCGATGGAACACGTCTGAGCATGTATCATTCATTGGCCACGAACCTCCAAGACACCTGAAAAAAGAGGCAAGGACACACCCCCCAAGAGTGTTTGGCCATCAGGTCGGACATATTTCTCGGACTGCGGCAGGTGGCCGAATCCGAACATCAATCCGTGGAACAGGACGCATGGTCACGGGCATCGAACCGTGGAACAGGACGCATGGTCACTTCACGCCAGATTGGGAGCGCCTAGCGTCCAGATTTTGTAGATCAGCTCAGATCAGCTCAGCCGGGGCCTAGAGCTCCCCCGGCTCACAGGATAAACTCGCAGCCAAACACGCACAACTGGTCCACCATAGGCGGCCTCTTGGGAGAAAAACAAAAATGGCCCTGGGAAACGGAGTAAAAGCCCACTGTAAACCAGGGGAACCCCCCCCATTTTTTTACAGCAAGCCGACCAAAAAGGACACCATATGTCCACCACCCGTGGTTAAGCATCGCGCGAGGGACCCCCCGGCTGCGCTTGAGTCCGCTGGGCCTTGCTCATCTTGGCCACGTCCTTGCTGTTGATGCGGTCCAGCCGCATGCCTAGCTCAACCTCAGCTTTTAGGCGCTCGGGCACCTCACTACCATGCCTGGTGGGCGTCTTCCCCGATTGGGGAGCGGGGTGGGGCTGGAAATGGGAATGGCTTTTACAAGGATAACGGTTCTAAACGGGACAGAACCTACCTGCACCAGTCCAAATGTCAATGAGTCACATGAGACACATGGCATGATAGCTCAGCCTCCGAAATCCTGCCCCAACAAAGGATTGCTCTGCTGCACGTCGGTGCGTCTCTGGTCCGGTGGAGGTGCCAAGCTGCCAAACAATCAGCCCCAGTTCCACGTTACTTGGTTGCTTTCTGCTCCCCTGCTGAAAGTTTAACTTTTAGTGGTTTAATGGAAACCCATTACAGTAGTTGGCAGAAAGTTAAAGTCCTAACATCCAAGCAACATGCACCAAAGGTTCATTAATCTGCGGGATGACAGAGGCTTGGAAATTCAACTCAAGCAGTCCCCGTGCTCAAGGCAACTCTCCCGACTCGCTGCCTGCACCATCTCCGCCCAGCTTCCGCCGTTGACCTGCCGCGCACAAACGTCGGGTCAGGTTCCGCGCTGCACGGAGCCTGCATTTGTTTCATGAAACAGTGGTAGACGACCAATTCAACATTCCTAGAGCAACCTTGCTGGTGCCAAGCATGGACATTTCCGCAAAAAGCAAGTCCCCCATCGACCCCTACCTGCAGAATCCGCGGCAGCAGCAAGAGCAGAGATACCAGTTCAGGTCTGAGACGAAGCACTTGTGGCAAGAAACTGCGGCTTTCGGCTCTACGCACGCTTGCGACCCGCACCCTTGTCACTTGGTCAATGTTCAACCCTGCACCTTAGGGTTCAACACAAATTGAACATGCAACTCGCACTCCCCAAAGGACCATTCAAACCATTGGGCCTGATTTGTTTGTTGAGGGTACACTTTTTGGGCTTGGTTTGAAGGGCCAAAAGACAGGGAACCTGCCAATTTGAGACCAGCAAACACACACACACGCCTAGACATGCCTCCTCCATACCTCCCTGCTCTCAGTTTACTATAGCCTATAGACCCCTTCCCACGAGGGGCCTTGCGACATAAAGCTGGGCATCCGAGTGCAAGGGGAACCCCGTTGAGGCAGTGCCCTACTTTAGAGGTGTTCCTTCACCCTGTTTCCGACAACAAGCGGACAGAGCTGTTAGCTTCCATGATTTTTTGTAGTGGATTTGCCACAGTACTCCGAAGCTGACATTCGACACCTCGTGGGGATCCATCTTTATGTTCAATGGGGGCAGGTCGGGTCTTAAACGCCGTGTCCCCTGCCTCAATCCGCTGAAAACGATGCGCTTGCAAAGTTCGTGTAACAGCGTCGCATTTGGGTGGCTTCACTGATGTGGCGAAACCGTCAGCGTTTTGAGGACTCTTTGTCTGGGGATACCCTTCTTGACAGGGTCATGGCAATCTGGGTAAACTCAGCCTGGATATACCAGGTTTGTATCATATCCCTTGGGGGACCGGACCTCCCAACTATGGCTTGCTTCGAACCGCGCCTTGGTGACATAGGCAGGGTTGGGGGGCCAGTCCACCTTGAAGCCCAAGCGAAGGTCTGCGGCTGTGGCGAAGACCTTGTGTGGCCTCATGGAAGCGCCAGTCACACTGGGTGTCTTAAGGTCTTTAAAAACAAACAAAAAACACATCAGCGGTCATAGTGGGGTGCTCTAAACTAGGTGCCCGGAAGAAAAACCTACCCCTATTTTACTTCCCTTTTGGTGGCCGCCGACCCACGGTTGAACCCATGATTTTCTGGGCGCGCCTTTGGGCGGCCAGTTTTAAACCTCCACACCGCTAAGCTGCTGGACGCTTGTCTCTTTTTAGCCTTGGTGTTTATGGGTGTTTCTCAAACTAGGTCCCTCCAGACACGTCCGGTTTTCGTTGGCGTCCCTTTGCACACCAACCAAGGGGGGGGCATCATTTCGACAAACTTCCGTATAGTGTGCGGATAAGCCGAGGCCCGCACGGTGGCGCCTCCTCCTTTGCCTTCTCTTTCACCTCCTTCAGCTTCTCCTTCACCTGGCGGCATCCACGTGTCGCCCTGAGTGGGTCAGCCAAAATGCGCAGCACGCCGCCAAAACTGAACACAACCCAAGAGCTATCAAACTTCTGAAGGCTAAAAACAAAATCACCATCACATGACAAACCACTAAAGCAAATACCAAGAAGCGTTCAAACGCCTGGTCCAAGTGTCCGAATTCAGACGCCCTGCGGCCTGCCTTGTCCAACGCTTTCTCCTTGCCCTTGTCGCCCTTATCCTTTGTCTTCTCCGCTGCCTTGCTCTTGTCAGCCTTGCCTTCCTTGCAAGGTCAAGGTGAAGCTGCATGAACAACCGATGCTTCTAAAAAGTAATGCTCACGTTGGACGGATACATGCCGCTGATTGCTAAGGCGCGTTTTTTTCGGGACCCAATACTAAACACTCTGGGGCGGGCCTCCGGGGCCACCCCTAATCAGTACGGCGCATTCGGCAGAATCATTTTCGCGCATAAACCAAAAAGAAACACTTGATGTCAATTCCGGTCCAATGAGGACTTTATCAAATTTCCGGATGCGCCCTCAATCCCGTAAAGCGGCCACCTACAACTACTTTCTCCCACAGCCCGCATTCTCCCTGAAACCCATTTAATCTGAGGTTTGACTTCTTGGGTGGGGGGGGGGAAGGTTTAGTAATCCAACGTTAACATTGGGAGATGTACCAGTCAGAAGCAGTGCCCCTTGAAACCAACAGGACAAATAAACAACTTCTTCAGCACATGGACATCTTCAAAATGGAGTGGAGGTTTTGAGGCATCACCAATCATGACGAGACACTACCCGTACACGAACTGCCTTTGCCTGCATACGCAAACCAGAGCGTCCACCACAAATGAAATGGGTACTTTGCGGGGCTTTGATGAGTGTCGGACCTGACCTGACGATCCATCCACTCAGATCCGTCGAGACAAGATCGCAAGATCGCCTTCACGGCCTCCTTCTTGTCTCCTTTCTTGTCTACCTTCTTCTCCTCCTGGGAGCGGTGCTCCCATTCGACCGGTTCTGTCACGAGGGTAGACCTTTGGTCGCTGGAAAAGAACAACGAAAGGAATTTGCACCTTGGGGCTTGGGTTCATTGTTTTGCGGCTCGCAGCAGCCCTGTCCTTTGCTGGCTTCTTGTCTTTCGAGCCTTTCTTTTCCTCCACTTTAGGCGTCGGCTGCCAGTCATCGTCATCTTCGTCATCCCAGCCATCGTCTTCTGCCTCCTGGTTTGGCCGCCCAAGCTTGCTGCAACCAGCGCTCTCTTGGGGGAACATGCCAGAATGAAGCCTGCTCAGGAAGAGCCCCTAAAAGGGACACCTTGCCGGCACAACACTTCCAAGCAGCCGTTAGATGAAGGAAGGCTCTGTGCCCGCACTCAGACGCCACTCACATCCTTCAATGCCTCCCTGTTGGCAGTATATCCACACATCCACCTGCTTTGTCTAGCGCCACTTGTATCATCATTTCGGGGCTGCTTTGAAGGGGACTCCCTACTCATCTGCAGGAGTCTTCACCTTGGGGTGAAGGCTGCCTGTATGTGCCCAACCCCAAAAACCTATTCTTGCACGGATCTCCGTTTGACTTTTGCGTGCCTCCTTTTGCTGGAGGTGCCGCGTTTGCGAGACAAGGCATGTAAAAAATGTAAACTGCAGTAGCGGAAAGCATGAAGCTTGAAGCCTGGATTCTGTCCAGAACGCGCATGGGGAGGGCTGTCGATTTCCCAAAGGCAGATTAGCAGGGTCTTTTGGGGGCCCCCTAATCCTGAAAGAGGTCTTACTGCTTGGGACAAACCAAGGACAGGGGCTAGGGTTTTGGCTGGGTCCTATGAGCACAACCACTTAGCATTTAGACCACAGGAGAAACCATTAGCTTAAATCCTCACCAGCCATGAATCTATTGATCTTCAAAGCTCTAACCAGTCATAACCAGTCAGGACTGAGAGCTCCCTTGAACTCCGGCCAGAAAGAATAACCAACCAAAATTCAGCGGATTGCTCCCTTGCCATCCGGCAGGAAAGAAAAACAAACCAAACTCAGCAAATTGCTGCACTTGGTCCGTGACGTCTCCTCCTGCACCGGCTCTTGTTTGAAGGCGACCCCTGCGCTTTTCCGCCTCGAGCATGGAGCTGGGGGAACAATTGCAGCACCCTCCTGACTGGACCTGCCTGGAGGACCAGTTTCCTCTAAAGGGATTCCAAGTGGACGAAAGGGGAACAGTGCACAAGCTTTCTGAAAGGGGCCCCCTTTTGCCCGCCGAAAAAAGGGGCACTCCATGATAGAAGTTGCTACAAGCCCACCAAGCACTAGCACTCCCTCCTGAATCCAGCGTTACACCGACCCTGTCTTTGGAGTGGGAGAAACTCCAGCAGGGAGCGTGTCACCTGAGCCATTTCGGAGGGCATCGATACATTGGACGCGCAGGCGCTTCTCCCAGGCGGTCTTCAACTGTGCACGTCTGTTTTTCCAACACGACGCACGGCCAAGTGCAAGTCCTGCGCCTTGCCTTACACCTTTCCTGAAAACCCCAACTCGGAGAATCGACCCCTCAGGTCACACAATGGCACATGCCAAAAGGAGTTCCCTATTGCAAAGGCCTATGGCCAGGGATTGGTGCCTTTCAGGCTGAACAAACAGAAAAGGCATACAAAGGTCTCCAAAGGCCAAAAATACACCCAAGCTTCCCAGAAACACATGCCTCGCCCCACTCAAAGTCTGACATAGTCCCGAAACAACCGTGCAACATCTTCTTTGGTGCAGCCATACGGTCTAAACCACACAAGGGGCTTCATAAGGCCTGCCGATAATGCCGCAAGTAGACAAAAGCCATGCGCCATAGGGACACAAACACCCGGGAATGGCTCTTACAACCTGCTCCAAAGAGGTTCTGATCGAACGGTGTTCATCGAACCGTTCTGGCCCCTAATGCTCTTCCGGCGTCTCAGACGCGGTGCCCAAAATGCCGTGCCTAGTTTCAGCCAAGAGAAAACAGGAACCTCGTCTAGAGCAGAACTGCATGGCCCAAATGCGCCAACTAAGCCTTTGAAGCTCCCACGCCCATGGAAAACGACGAGCGCTGAGGACATCTACGGACCCAAGGGTCCGGGCACGCTCTTGCCACGGGCGGAGCTCCTGCGAATCTCCATGCAAGGGGTGCCATAGGAAGAGCATAGCCGTCAATTGCCCATGGTCTTAAACAAGGTCGCTGTACGAGTCACTGATAGGTTGCCGTGGCTGCCTTGTTGGCCCAAATCAGTATACGAAAAACTGGGCCAGTGCAAGCAATCCCGCTGTGGGCAAGGCAGGACTCCACTAGAGCTGCATGGTGGCTCTTTCCTCATGTCAAATCTGACAAGTTGATCAATGGCCCTTCTTGGTGTTTCACGCAGCACTTTGCCAAGTGATCTGAAGCCAACTTATATTGGGTGGGCAATGCCCCAACGAGGACAGCGGACCCTGATTACCCTGCCATACACCCGCCCCCGCGCATCCATACTTCAGCTCAACTTCAGCTCAACAGCTGAATGGGAGCGACCGTTTCACTGGTTGAACATCGAATTAGTTTGTCGGTGGTGTATCCCAGTAGGATCCGACCTGTGCAGGATGTCCATCCACAGTATGGTGGCTGGAAAGCACTCCGACAAATGCGATCGCTTCATGTGTGGATCGCTCGCTATTCAAGAGTCCATTTACAGAGAACACATATTTTTCATATATGCATATGTATATATATATATATATGTCTCTTGTATTTTGACTCTGTTCCACGTTCATTCTTCGACCGAGCTGACACCCATTGGGGCCCCCGGCTGGCTGGCGCCGGCGGCTAGGGGGTTCAAGTCATCGGGGATGAGCAGTGCCAGGGACTTTCGGGCGGCCGTGAGCACGTCATCCTGATCCCGCCACCCCCACGGCACCCCCCCCCCCCCCCAAACCTCGGACCACCAAAACGGGGGACGCGCAAAAATCGTCCTGCGAACCAGCAGGAACCCGTCATCCATCCCTCCCTGTATATACCCCAATCCCTCTTGTAGTCTGTTTGGGGGTTGTTAACTACTTGCTGCTTGCACACCAGGGTGAAAGTAGATCGCAGAATCCCGTTCATGCGGCAAGCAAATGGAATAACTGAACAACATTGCAGGAAATGCGACGTATCTTTCATCCAAAAGCACGCGGCATGGGGAAAACAAAGCCTCCAGCAGGTCGAGGCAGAAGGTCCGGGATCCGAGGGCCAGCGGAAACTTACAGAGAAAAAAATACGATGCTTGCTTTTTGGGATGGTTGGTTGGCTGGCTGGCCGGTTGGCTGGCTGGCTGGTTTGTTGGTTGCGTGGTTGCGTGGTTGCTTGGCTTGGGCTGGGTTGTGTGGAAGAGTACATCTCGGAATTTACGGCCAAACCAATTCCAAGCTTAAGCTTTTCTTTTTTTTCTTCTCTCTCTCTCTCTCTCTCCCTCTCTCTGAGCAAGACTGCTATACGACGCGAATAGCCCTGGGGTATTTTCAAGTAGAAGTTAAGCGCCAACGGGTTAGTTGCCCATGGGAGACGAAGGGGGACCCGGTTTTGATGGGTGATTTTCCGTTGTGGAACACCTAGTAAAGAGGTGACTCGTGACCTTTTACCAGCGAGCTGGTCAGTTCCTCCTCTACACCAACAAACGCAGCCCTTGGTTTACAAGCATGTCTTTCACTTGCCATAGGATAACCACAGGATAACCACAAGGCACCCGTTTCGTCCTGAGGCGGGGCCTTGGACTTCCGCGCCTGGCGGGGGAGGGTGGGGGGGGAAAGGCTGTTTTGGGGTTCGGAGACCGGTTTTTCCGACCCTGAAACCTGCTTAATGCACCAAATCCGGGCAGGATGTTGTTCTCCAAGATGCGTGACTGCTTTGAGCGTTTTTCTTGGGAAGCCAGGCATGTCATGTCCTGACGACATGGCCCGGTGCCCATACCCGTAGCACAGCGCCACAACACACCGAATACACGCGCAGGTTTGAAAAGGCCAAGGTCAGCTCCCGGCGTCTCGGCTTGATTCATTCCCATGCGAACATCGAAGCCTCGCCCTGACGAAAGGAAACCCAAGGCTTCAAGGTCCAAAGGCCTGCCCTCCCCGAGGCACTGAACGAGGCTTGCCGAATGCAAGCAAAAACCGAACCGCAAGGTTTCACCAACACCCCACTTCCGAAAAGACATCGAATCCCAACAAACATCTTGGAACTGGTGTTAGGTGACGTTGCTGCAATGCCTCCCAGCTCCTTGCTTTGCTTGAGGAACACATCATATTTCAGGGTTCCGCATGTGTTCCTTTCAAACATCAACGCGCCAATGAAAGGGAAGCATATGGAAGCATCAACACTGGCAGCCAAAAGGTGATGGAGACACACCAAAGACCGGCCCTGTGCCCCCAAGCCCCCCAATGACTCCAGGGTCTGTTGCTTTAGACCTTCAACCAATGCCCGAGAACCAGTTTGCCAAAATACACCTCCTAATATACACCTAGGTGAAAGTGGATGGCCTTCTTCCATTTGACAAACAAAATAACGTGGAAGAACCTTTGTAACCATATGCCCTAGTATCCATCAGCATCGGCGTCTTTGAATTTCCCCCTGCATCGGTTTGCAATGCTTTTGGGGGCTACGTAGTTAAGTGTGCTCTAAGTTGTTGGTGTGGCCATGTAAGACACATAGCAAAACAGGCAGCAGCGGCGCAAGAACTTGTTTCGCGTGTTTCAAAAGCAGTTTCGGCCACGAGGAAGAGGAACTCGAGGAGTTGGTGTAAAGATGGCAAACCAAAAACACGGCGTGCTGCTGGGCAGTTGGTGGGATTTGTGAGTATCTGTTTGAGTCTCGGTTCTGGTCCTGTAAGCTTCTCACTAGGTAACCTCGGTTCAGAAACAATGCGGAACACTGGGTGACTTCAACTCACCAGAACCCAAGACTCTCCGAGCCAGTTGTATATAATCTTCATGGCTTCTGGGGGGATCGGTTTCTTTTCCTCAGCAGCGGTTTCCCATGGCTTGGGCCTGCGAACCAAGTGAAAGAACGGCCCCTTACACAACAAACAGGACCCGTTTTTGCGAACTAGTATTTCGAACCATTGATTTCCGTATGCAGAGCGAATGATCAAACCCAAAATTGGGAAGTTGTGCGGCTTTGCTCGCTACGTTTACCCAACGCCAGTGCACTCCTCTTTTCGGTCCTTGATTTTGAATGGAGCCCCCACAGGAAAGCAGGACACTGGAGGTCTGGGTGGCCGTCCGTACCCCGCCCTACCCCGCCCCCAAGTGCCTTGGCCGGTGCTGCCGGAGACGCCGGGGAGCCCGGGGACGTCTGCGTGTCGGTTTTGCTCAGCTCCGAGTTTTCCAACTCCGAGCGCTGGAAGGTCAGCTTCAGAGGTCGCTCGCGCATGGCGCGCTTGGTCTCCTTGACCGTGAGCTCCTGCGTAGGAAGAACCCCCCCCAGGAGCCAAAGACCTTGGGGGGTTCAAGGCCCCCATATTTAGGGTCTTGGGCTCCTAGGGCCCCCCATCAGTTGAAGCATTCACAGGATGCTATCCCCCCCCCCAAAGCTCCCCCCTCCCAAATCTTGAGCTCCAGAATACGGCCGGAATTGGCGGCAAGGCCTCAGTGCATTATTATGGTTGCATCACGCCTGAGCCCAGGTCGAACATGATGTTCCCGCAGGTTCCTTGACCACACATTCAGTTCGAGCTTCTTTGATGAACCACCCAGACTATTGGGGCTTGTGGCAATTTTCCGAAAAGAAGGGTTCCTAGCAAGCATGCCGGAAAATTGGCTTGGAGTTGGGTGACAGTAATTGAGGGATATTAAACACGAACAGATCCTGATTTGGGATCTCAGCGCAAATTGATCTTCCTTTCAAGGGTGTCACAAGAAGTGTCCCAACAACACAAACTCTTCAGCCAACTGCAAATGGGCCTTAACAGGCTTGTCCTAGGGGCACTGCATGACTGTCACACTGTGATGGAGTCCGATTGTGAATGCCTGTCTGAGGTTCCCTCTAGAAAACAAAAGGCAAGACAGAGCCGGCCCTTTTAGAGGGAAACCTGAAAGGGGGACGTTTGAGCATCAAATGATTGAACATGTGGATTGAACATGTGGCTTGACCAGAAAACCTGTTCGACCAAAGGAAACAAGACAAAGAGAGAGAGAGAGAGAGAGCTGGCCACGAAATTGAACGCGGAATTCTTTCCACATTGGTAGGTGGACATAAATTCCCAAGTAACTGACGTCCACCAAAAGGCCCCCCATTAAAGTTCCCCCGTCTGGTGTTCCTTTGCTTCTTTGAAGCAGCCTTTTTCTCCCTTTACACATCACCCCCAAAGGAAATCCACAAACGGGCGCCAAAGCGACTCCCGGCACAGGAACAACATAATGATACCTGTTACCTTCCACCCCTGCAGTTTGGTCATCTTTGGGGGCTGAGGGGTGGGGGTGGGGGGGGGGGTTCGGAGCAGCTCTGTTGGAAAATTGCGGGACATGTGAGAAAGCCAAGTTCTCCTCTAACCCCCCCCCCCCCAAAAGGAATTGTGAGAACCCCTCAAATGCAAAACGGTAAGGGGCCCAAACATATCAGCACGACACCCTTTTCGGGCCAGTTGAAGTTTACGGAAAACCCCTGCGAGAAACAAAAAAGGAACTGGTTCAGCGGGCGTCTGGGAAAGAAACCCGAATTCAAGCAGATCCGACGTACTCTATCACATTGTTTTATTCGTCTGGGTGTGTATTTTTCTTGGCGGGTATACGTTTCTTTTTTTTGTAGATTCAACTGGAAACCAAAAGGAACATCGCCATTCATCTTGCTTCATTGTTTTGTTTTGCTAGTATTCTGATCATTCTAGCTTATATATCATTATGTTTTTTGGGGGTCCTCCCCTAAAGAAGGACACCCCCCCCCCCACTTGTTGTGACATGTGGCCTTGGGGCCTTGGGGCCTCTTTGGCCTCTCCTGCACGGGGCGGCCCCCGATCTCTGTGAGCTCGTCCCCCACCTGGACGCCCTGCTGGGCGGCCCAGCCGCCAGCAATCACCCGCTCGATGACCATGGCCTGCGTGCGGCGACTCCGGGACCCAAAAATTGGAGGGCGTCCTGACAGGCGCCAGGTGCTGAGTCTGGCCTGAGTTACCCGGCGCAAGCAAAGGCAAAGGACTTGATGGGGTGACTAGGCCTCATCCCTTTCGCTTGGCCAGGCTTCTTGGCTCGAAGACATGCGAAAGGAACTCGCCAGCAGAAAGGGTCAACGCGTGCCAATTCAGAAGGCAATGGCAAGCAAACCTGGTTAGTTGGAACCCACGCAGGGCCTCCTGACAGGGAAAAATGCGCAAGAACCACAGTTGCAAACCACTTGGCAATTAGCTGGTCGTCTCCTCATCTATGGGTTTGCCTCCAGGAGCTTTGTCCAAGAGACCGTCTCCATTCCGTGGCTTCCCCTTTTGGGGGGTTACACAAGAATCCCAAGAAGTTGAGTTGGATTCCTTGAAACCCCGGCAAGGCTGCGCTCAACATGCCAGAGATCGAGTACCGCCTCAAGGCCTCCAAACACATGGCCATGGGTCAAAAGCCCGTACCCCCAGTGAAGATCCCAATCCCACTAACTAGGTTCTAAAAATGGGTGGTGCACCTACCCCGAAATGGTACCATCGGCTTTGACCCGCCACATTCCCCCACCGAAGCCGGACACCGCCCGCAAACGTCCCCGCCTCCGGAGGGAAGGCGGCCGGAAAAAGGCCCAGGTCCGTGACATCCGCCGGCGCCACGGCCTCGAAGGCCTCCACCTGCGTGGCAGGATTTTTGGGTTGGAGGTAAGACGCCCCTGAATGGCCTCCCTCTATCACACTGGGTGCCCCTCAAAAACCAACCAAAAAAAGGCCAGGGGCCTTTATGGGACCGTTAGCATGGGCTCTAAGGGTTTAGTGGGTGGGGAAGGCTTTTGGACTGTTCGAACCCAGAGTTTACCCCAGGCACAAAAACATGGGAACGGGTTGCTTCATGTTTAGACATGGTCCCAGAAGGCGGGTTGAGTGTAACCCCCGGAACCTATTGCGCCTTTCAATCCCATCGGTTTATTCAGCTCAGTCACCCTTCCACTGAGGCAAACCCTATCACTTGAGCTTCGGCAAGCCGACCGGACCCCTTCACTCAAACAAGCATGGAAGTCCGCGAAGCCCCTTGGACAACGATGCTTTTTGGAGAGAACATACGCCCTGTCCCCATGCCTCCCACCCTCCAAGTGCTGTTCGACCACTGCCTCCTCCTCAGACTCTTCGGGGGTCTCAAAGGCTAAGCGCTGGAAGGTGAGCAGCAATGGCCGCTCACGCATAGCCCGCTTCATCTCCTTCTTGTCCATCACCTCGTTTATTGTTATTACTACGTATATAAATATCTATAAATAAATAAATATATATATATATACATCCTTTTTCCTGGGTGTCTCACTTCATGCGCCTTGGTTTTGCCTTTGTTGTTTTCCTTCCTTGTTTTTCTGGGTGCCTCACTTCCAAGGGCCAGGAGAGAATTTGGAACTTGTTGCCACTCGCTGCGCTTTGGAAGAGACCACTCCAGCCGGGGAACATGTGGCTTGTGGCCAACCGGCCACTTTTGAGCGGCCGGAAAAATGATCCCAAACCTTGGCACATGGGGGACACAGAAAGTCACACATGTCTGCATGACATAGTTTTTCAGGAGAACCCAACCCCCCCCCCCCCGCCCCAAGACCCCCCCCTAAAAGAAAACAAACAAACAAACAAACAAACAAACAAACAAACACACAAACACCCCCACACACCCCCCAAAAAAAAACACACACACACACACACACAGCCCCCCCCCCCCAAAGAAAACAAACAAACAAACACCCCCCCCAAGCAAAAAAAACACGAAATAAAACAACACCAAAACAAGAAGAAACAAAAGAAACACACACACACACACAACTAAACCATTGCCTCGCGCCTCCACGTTTTGGCCGTTGATCTTCACCAGCAAGTCTCCATCCGCCACCCCCATCTTGGCAGCCCAAGAGCCGGGCCTTGAGACGGGGCAAGGGCTTGGGCAAGCGCAGTTCGCGCCTGAAGTGACCTCTCCAAATCTCGGTTGCGAAATCTGCTCCCCGGCTAAAAGTTTAACTTTCAGCTGTTTCATGGACAACCCATTGGTTGGCAAAAAAGGTTGAAGTCCTAACATCCAAGCAACATGCACCAAATACATGTAGGGAAAACGGGCGAAAACGGTGTAGAAGTCAACTCTGGATGGGCCATTTTTCCAGATCGCACCACTTGAAATTGGCGGTTTGCTTCATCCATCCCGATTGGGATATTGTCGCAGAGTGGCCCGGGATGTGCCCCAACCATGAACAAACGTTTGCACAAGGGCATGAATCTATAGACAGGGTATCCAGCATTTTAGGGCCAAGTGGCGTCACCGCCACCTCCACAGGGTCCGGCGCAAAGGCGCCAGGCACAAGACCCAGCTCCTTGACGTCGTCCCCCGCCTGGAAAACCCATCGAAGAGGTGGGGTCTGTGTTGAATCCTTGCTTTGAACCTGGCAAAAAATCACCATACTTGGACTCAGGCGTCTGGATGTCCAATGCAAAGGAAGCCCATTTTGGGCAGCTGATTGAGGGCAACCCCCCTGCGAGAAGAAAGAGAAACATACGGGCATCATGAGAGGTGCCCAAATGGGTAGCCTAACCCCAGATGTGTGGTCTCCAAGCTTCCCTTTTGGTGAACACTTGCGGTCCCAATCCACAAAGGGTATCTCTCTCGGATCCCCGAATTCGAAGATGGCCTACGCTGAAGCCACAAATAGGGAAATGGCCCACCCGCAAGAACAAGTCGGGGGGGAGGTGAATTCAAACTGGGGGCACCCTTTTCCTCTGCTGAAAACGAGGGGCCAGCATCAAACTGGGGTCCATGGGAAGCTCCCCCATGTTGAAGGAAGTGCGACAAGTTCTAGGGTCCTGGGCTCCTCGAAAACACGTGCTGCACTCCGCTTTTGTCTTTTGAGTTGACCAGTTTCGGGGCAGAATCCATCACATGCATCAAGGCACTGCCCACATGCTATTGGCAACGTTCCAGGGTTTTCAGCGCCGGTGGCCGGACGTCGTGGGCTTCAAGGAACAAGTGAATCCGAGTTCCTGGCTGCAAGTGTTTAGTGAGCTCCGTAGAGGACACGTGTCAAGACCCGGCAACCTCTTTTGGGCATTTGGAATCTTCGCACGCTGCTTGCGCCCACCACTTTGGGCCAACCCTGCCTTGCACTCAAAAATGTCCGCCTCGCTCGCCTCACTTCCTGGGCTCTCCGCCTCTTTCACCGAGCTACGGGCAACCGAGGCAGACTTTCTAGGCGAAGAAGAAGCAGAGGAGGGTGCTGGCTGAGGCTTATCCACCTTGGCGTTCGTCTTTTGCTCCGCCTTCTGACTTTGCTGGCTAGCTCGCTTCTGCTCAGGCGCCTTTGCTTTTTGGTCTTCAACCTCCTGAGCCTTCTCGAAATTCTGGCTTCGCTGGCTGGGCCGCTTCTCTACAGGCGCCTCTGCCTGTTGGCCTTCAATCTCCTGAGTCTGCTGGCTAGGCAGCTTCTGTGTAGGCGCCTCCGCTTTTTTGCCTTCAACCTCCTGAGCCTTCTGGCTTTGCTGGCTAGGCCGCTTCTCTGTAGGCGCCTCTGCCTTTTGGCCTTCAATCTCCTGAGTCTGCTGGCTAGGCCGCTTCTGTGTAGGCGCCTCCGCTTTTTTGTCTTCAACCTCCTGAGCCTTCTGGCTTTGCTGGCTAGGCCGCTTCTCTGCTGGCTTTTCTTTCTCTGCAAGCACCTCCGCTTTTGGTTCCTCTGTCTTCACATTCTGGCCGCTGTCCCCTTCTGTGAGTTGCTTCTCTTTCCCTGTCTCCGCTCTCTCCTGTGCGGTCTCCTCCTCCTCCTTGGGCTTTTTCCTCCGCCGGCGCTTCTTCTTCCCTTCAGCTTCTTGCTCCCCTTCCTCCGGCCAAGCCTCTTCCTCCGGCCAAGCCTCTTCCTCTGGCCAAGCCTCAGCAGGCGCAGCCTCAGCGGGCGCAGCCTCAGCGAGCGCAGCCTTGGTGGGCGCAGCCTCAGCGGGCGCAGCCTCGGTGGGAGCTTGCTGGACAGCGGCCGTGTCTGGTTTCTGGGCCTCGTTGGAGCGACCCTCAGTCAAAGGCGCGACTTGCTCTGCTTTAGCGTCGTCTTGCTCCTCTACCTCTTCCTCTTCTTCCTCCTGCGCCTCTTCCTCTGCCTCTTCCCAAGCCTCTTCCTCGTCGTCATCCAGCAGCCCCGCAAGCAGGTCGTCCATACCCGCAATGGCCGACATCCGCTGCGCACCTTTCCGCAGCCTCTGCTTGTATGCCACCTCATCAAGCTGGGGCAACCCCTTGTTTCAAAATGTCTTCTTTTGCCCTTCCACCGAATCATCTTTTGCCTTACCCGCCTCTTCCCTCGCAGCTTTGCCGCGCCAGGCGGCCTGCAACTTGACAGCAGCACGGCTGCGCTCGTCCTGAAAGGGGCTGCAGCCCAACCCCCGGAGCGCTCCCAGCAGGCTTCCAAGCGAGAGAGGGTAGCAACGAAAACAGAATACTCACAACGACAATGCCACTGTTCTAGGGGTACCTTCCCCAATCTTTCCAGGATCCTTCTTTCTAGAAAACCTCCGGAAAGGGACAACAGCTGGTTTTGGGAAAGAACGCTGGTTGAAAAGAATGCGGGATCAACCCCTAGAACTTAACATGAGCCACACCTAGCCCAAGCTGCCCCATGTCAGCTGGACCTCAATTCTGGGAGTTCTAATTGGTTGAGTCCCCCATGCAAGCCGCGCCCTACAAACCAAAGACGGGGGGGAAGGCAACTCAAAAATGAGGTTTTCTGTGCCCTCAAAACCCAGCAGCATGTTTTCTAGATGTTGGCCCAATTCACCCGAACTCTGGTTTGGGCCCCTCATAAGACGAAACTCACCGGCTTAGGGAGTTTCAAGCCCCCCCCCCCAGCACCTGTAGCTTGATACGCTGCCACGAGTTCTATTCCTTTGCTGGGGTTGGAGAGGCTTTGAATTTGATGACGCCAGGCGTCTTGGGCAGATATCTGGCTTGGCACCTGTTCATTACTCTTCAGGGATCGCTCGGAATTCACCCTTTCACACCACCACTGCCTCGATAGCACGTCGACAAGAGTTAGCACTTTCTACGGGTGTGTGCACATACCCCTACATAGCTGCCCCTGTATAGCTGTTGTTCATATCCTGCTCCCGGAAAGGGGCATAACCCCATTTTAGAGTGATTGGCACGAGGAACCCATATAAGCAACAAGGGATAGGTACTTCTCTCAACGGCCAAAGCTGTCCAACCTACGGCCCATCTGCTCATATGTCCTCGGTTCCTCCCGAAACGGAACCAGCCAAAGCCATGAGCGATGCGCCATGAGCCATGAGCCCCACCCCTCCTCCAAGGGGTCGGGCGGGATTGTCCTCAGATGCGATGCTCGTTTTGGGCGGGATGGCCAGAAAGCCGGGTCGGCCACGACTCGTGTAGCTGGACTGGTGATTGCGCCGCGCAAACACAAGAAACCCCTTCAAGATGGGACACACCAAGCTGGGAAAGCTTGCACAACTTGGACGTGAAACCCAAACATCCGTGATACATCTGCAATCGCACATTGGATAGAAGTCTGGGAAGCACAAAGCGGCAATGGTCTGTCGCTTTCACCCGATTCAAAAGCGGCGAGAAAGAACAATATAGTATACCCTCCAACCAGAATCCAGCTTCGCCAACGAACATGTGAGCGGCACTCCCGTGAATGCAAGGAACTGTACAACGGCGGAACCAGAACTTGAAGGGGCAGGGTAGTCCCCCAAGAGGGTTACTGCAAAGCATACATACCAGGTTGGACCTTGAATGGTGATTTGGTTTTAATGTTTTTGTTCAATCGACCAACCCAAGCCAACTAAGGGGAAGCTGACCATAGATGGTAGCTGCTTGCCAAGTACCCTACCCCTTCAAGTGGCAAATGCAGGCAAAACAATCTTGCATTCCCCATATTCTGTCATCACCCGTTGATGGGATCTGCAAAAGTGAAACTGCAACTCCACGTAAGACTCCCCAAAAGTGAGGACCTTCTTCAAGCTGGCTCGCCTAAATGGGCTAATGGGATACCAGTCAAGCGTGCCACTCTCAGAACCACCCTTAAATGTTTAACACGAATGATATCAATCCTCGAATATATTTGGAGGACACCCAACCAATTGTTCATGCGCTTCGCAACGCATTTGTGCCCTTTGATTTCTCCCATCCCTCCCTGTATTTTCAACAACTCAATCTTCCAAGTACTGCAAGTACCAAGGCCCCCCTCCCCCGCCCAAAAAAAAGGAAAGAAAGAACGAAATTCGTAAAATCTGCCCCAAGCCACCCCAGAGCCTATCTGGCAGAGACCCCGGAGCTTTCAGCTGCTGGGGCCAAATCAATATCCACTTCCAAAAGCAACTTTGAGTTGCAACTCCAAAGTTCACTTCCCATCAGAATGTTGCACCCCCAACAAAACCGAAGAACCAAACACATATTAGTAGCTCCTAAAATCGTTTAAACAACAATAACAAATATTGAGAACCTGCAACGTAAATATCAGTGCATTTTCAGACACTCAGCTTTGAAAGGGTTCTGAAAGGCGCCAAATGCATGCATGCAGCGCTTCCGCGGCGGGCGAGGGGTCTTCCGCCTTGGGCGCGTCCTTGTCCTTTGGGGCTCCGATGTCCCCTCTCACCGCGGCATCCTTTTCCTTGGCCTCTTTCTCTGCAAGGTCCTTAGCCTCCTTCTCCTTGGGTGCAGGATCAAAAAAATATTTACGGGATCAAAAAGAAATTATCGACACCCGGATCAAAAACAAATTATTTACAGAATCAAAAACAAATTATCTCGCCTGGGGGGTGCCAAAACGCTGTAATTTTCATTTTCGGGCAACACAGCGCGCATTTTACGGCTGCAGCTCAAAAATCGACACTTTCCAATACAAGCGCAGTACGCGAAGGTCACTTTGGCAGCTCCAGTTCGAAAATCACAACTTTTCAGATACAAGCGCAGTTCTATAAACGAATCTAGCATCGGTTAAATGCCTGTGGGGTTGGCTTAAGGTTGTGTAGGGTTAATGTAGGTTGGGTTTCGGATACATGCCACTGATTGCTAAGGCGCGTTTTTTCGGGACCCAATACTAAACACTCTGGCGCGGGCCTCCGGGGCCACCCCTAATCAGTACGGCGCATTCGGCAGAATCATTTTCCCGCATAAACCAAAAAGAAACACTTGATGTCAATTCCGGTCCAATGAGGACTTTATCAAATTTCCGGATGCGCCCTCAATCCCGTAAAGCGGCCACCCACAACTACTTTCTCCCACAGCCCGCATTCTCCCCGAAACCCATTTAATCTGAGGTTTGACTTCTTGGAAAAGGGGGGGGGAGGGAAGGTTTAGTAATCCAACGTTAACATTGGGAGATGTACCAGTCAGAAGCAGTGCCCCTTGAAACCAACAGGACAAATAAACAACTTCTTCAGCACATGGACATCTTCAAAATGGAGTGGAGGTTTTGAGGCATCACCAATCATGACGAGACACTACCTAGGAGGGCTCTAAACACGTACACGAACTGCCTTTGCCTGCATACGCAAACCAAAATGAAATGGGTACTTTGCGGGGCTTTGATGAGTGTCTGTGTTGCTTGGTACTGGGTACCCAGGAATAATAAGCCCTTGTCGATGTTGACCGGGGGTGCCCCATCATCAGCTACCGCAATTGCTTCGAGTGAGGGTATTCATCCGCCAGGCGTACTCCAGGGTTGACAGTAGAAACCCTGGCGGGTGACGAGTGTCCAATGTTTTCTTCAACCAAAAGGGAGGTCAAGAGCTAAGCATTGGCTCCTTTTCCTCTCATGGAAAACCGGGCGGTTGCAGGACGTCCCATTAGGCCAAATTGGACCTGACCTGACGATCCATCAACTCAGATCCGTCGATACAAGATCGCAAGATCGCCTTCACGGCCTGAGCATTCGACCGGTTCTGTCACAAGGGTAGACCTTTGGCCGCTGGAAAAGAACAACGAAAGGAATTTGCACCTTGGGGCTTGGGTTCATTGTTTCGCGGCTCGCAGCAGCCCTGTCCTTTGCTGGCTTCTTGTCTTTCGAGCCTTTCTTTTCCTCCACTTTAGGCGTCGGCTGCCAGTCATCGTCATCTTCGTCATCCCAGCCATCGTCTTCTGCCTCCTGGTTTGGCCGCCCAAGCTTGCTGCAACCAGCTCTCTCTTGGGGGAACATGCCAGAATGAAGCCTGCTCAGGAAGAGCCCCTATGGACACCTTGCCGGCACAACACTTCCAAGCAGCCGTTAGATGAAGGAAGGCTCTGTGCCCGCACTCAGACGCCACTCACATCCTTCAATGCCTCCCTGTTGGCAGTATATCTTAGGGCCTGCCTCTAACAATAACTCTTTAGGCCAAGTCAGTACCCATGTCAGACCAATTTGATACCAATTTTTATACCAATTTGATACCAATTTGACACCAATGTTTATACCAACTTGATACCAATCAATACCAATTTCATACTTGTATATACCACATTTATACCAAATTTATACCACGATTATACACATTTTAAACACATTGTATGCTACATTTATACCAATGTTATACATTGTTGGTACCACATTATACACATGTCATACCATATTTGGGCTCATACCCAGTTGGCATACACTTTGTATAAAATTGATATTAAACAAAAATGGTATGAAATTGGTAGGACATTGGCATGAAATTGGTATAAATCTGGGGATGCAAAAATTGGTATGAAATCTGGCCGTGCCGTTGGGATTTAGTGGATTTATACCAATTTTACGGGCCAGATTTCATACCAATTTCATACCAATTTTCATACCAAATTTGTATCAATTTTACAGATCTTATACCAACGGGGTATGACATCTGAGCCCAAATATGGTATTACATGTGTACAAATGTGGTAACACAAAATGTACAACATTGGTATAACTGCAGCATACAATGTGTTTAACATTGGTATAAACTTGGTATAACTTTGGTATACATGTGGTATACAATTGGTATAAACATTGGTATCAAATTGGTATAAACATTGGTATCAAATTGGTATGAATTGGTATGAACTAATAGTGACCCTGCCAATAATTTGTAGCAACTATATCCACAATCAGTATGGAACAACTGCCCAAAATAACCCCCCAGCACTGATAAAGAAGGGGGGCCATTTATTGATAGAGGCAAGTTCTAAAGTATATCCACATATCCACCTGCTTTGTCTAGCGCCACTTGTATCATCATTTCGGGGCTGCTTTGAAGGGGACTCCCTACTCAGCTGCAGGAGTCTTCACCTTGGGGTGAAGGCTGCCTGTATGTGCCCAACCCAAAAACCTATTCTTGCACGGATCTCCGTTTGACTTTTGCGTGCCTCTTTTTGTTGGAGGTGTCGCGTTTGCGAGACAAGGGCATGTAAAAAATGTAAACTGCAGTAGCGGAAAGCATGAAGCTTGAAGCCTGGATTCTGTCCAGAACGCGCATGGGGAGGGCTGTCGATTTCCCAAAGGCAGATTAGCAGGGTCTTTTAGTTAGGGAAGGCCATGCGCAACTTTTTTCGGACTCAAAAGTCTAGGGTCCACCCTAGGTTTTTTTGCATTTTTTGAATAAGCGCCCCAAAACAGCCATTTTAAAACATTTTTTGAAACAGTCTAAACACATTTTGATAAATATTTTTTTAGTACTGCATACCAAAACAAAAATTGAATTATTTTTTGAAAAACTCAATACACCTAAACATTTTCATTTTCAAAAACACATATTTTCCAAAATATTTTAGAAAATATATTTTTTCAAAAGAGATAAATATATATATCATTTTAAGAAGAATTATTCAATAAGAAACAACATTTTCAATAATTCAATGAGAAGACAAATAATTAATCATTTTTCAAAATTTGGATATTCCGGAGTTGCGCATGGCCCACCTTGTAGGATTTTATCTTCAATATATAAAACGCTATACTTACATTATAATTATAACATATAAGGGTATAAATGTTATAATCATAGTATGGTTAATAATTATGGGTTACATTTATAGTCAGGAAAAATGTCTTCAAATATGTAATCTACATATTCATCAATATCACCAATGTCTATATATTTGATATTGTCTTTTCCTATTATTGAATAAATATATTCCCAGAAAAACAAATTAACTAGTAGCCATACTTGATATTTAGTGTTGTAGTAAGACCATACATGATATTTAGTTATTCTAAATTCATTCAAGACCTCGTTTATTTTATCTTTACTTAATAAATGCCAATCAATCGCATCAAACATGCGTCGAAATTTTTTAACAAATGCTTTATATGGTTTAATTGCGTTTGTCCCTCCAAACCTCTTAATTAAATCTTTATTATTAAAGAACTCATTAATTTCTTTTTCAAATGACTTTCTAGCAATTTTATGGTAAAAACATACAGGACATCGTTTTTGATATCTCATAAAGAATGTCAATTGTAATTGAAACTTTGTATATCCCTCATCCTTATGTTCTTCAACAAACAACTTTTCAAGGTCTCTTGTTTTACAGCATTGATTACAATATACATCATATTCACTTATTTTATTACATAGATTGGCGGGTAATAACTTATACAATGTTGTATTAACATCATTCCTTTTAGTTGTACAACATTCGCACTTTGAATAATTAAATAACATTTCTATTATAATATATATTATTTTTATTTCTTTAAATACTTTTTTACAAGAAATAAAATTACATATTGAAATATAATTATAACATATAATATTTTACATGTTATAATCATAGCATGGTTATAATCAAAATCATTCCCCGATTCTATCAAAATCATTCCCCGATTCTATCAAAATCATTCCCCGATTCTATCAAAATCATTCCCCGATTCTATCAAAATCATTCCCCGATTCTATCAAAATCATTCCCCCGATTTCTGTCAAACTCATCACAGTTTCCAATATCAAACTACTAGGTATTTTATATAGGTCTTGTTGCTAATAATTCTAATAAATTCATATTATTAGAATTATCTAGATTTTAATTTCCAACCATTACATATTTATCATCATCACCCTTAATTAGTTTATAATATTCTAATGTTTGTTCTTTTGGACTTTTGATTTGTCCCTTATTTAACATATCGCAGTATTTTTTACGCTTGGTATCATAATCACCGCTAGGTCTGCCTATCCCTTTCTTTTCAAAAATCTTATTCATCTTCTCCTTCTCTTCGTTGCTTTGTTGTTCGCGTTCAACTGGTTTCATTTTGTCATCAATGGATTTAATCATATCATTTAAGGTTTTGATATTTTTACCAATTAATGTTATCTTCTTCATTAAATCATTAATAGTATAATTTTCATTTTCAGACATTACTATATATTTATTTAGATAATTATTTATTTAATTATATATTTATAAAGTGCAATTATGTTAAATCTACTCTTTAAATACTAATTTTTCATCATTTGTTTAACAGTTTCCTGTGTTTCGTTTTCATTATTATCGGTTGGTGTTGCTTGCCTACCAAATTTAAAAGTTATACTATGGACATCAGTTTCTAAGTTGATACTGTCTTTAGTTTTATCAATATTCATTTTCTTATCATTTTTACTTATTTTGAAACTTGTTGGAATACATGAACATTTACAACTTTTATTATTTTTTATTTGTAATTCATTCTTAAGTTCTAACATTCTTTTGCATGTAGGACAAACAACCTCAATAACTGATGTTTCTTTAACAATTTCTTCATCAGTTGATGAAACACTTAAACCTGTCTTATTCTTTTTGTTTTTCTTTTTTGGCATTTATATTAATATTTATATTTTTAATATATTGTATCAAAAACTTAATTAATTCTAAAATAAAATAACATATTTTTTTACATCTATTATCAGTTATTAGTACTTGTTCTATATTCTCCATTTCATCTATTATATTAATATAATCTGTATAACTCCTTTTCATATTAAATAATAAGATAAATTATTTTTCATTTCTGTCTTTCTTTCCTTGTAAAGTTTTTTCATTGTATCGTCTTTATTCCATCTATATTCTACAAATTTCTGATGATATTTTGAATTTAGATGTTTAAATAAATATTTGTCATCATAAGTTTTACCACAACTGCAATGGATAATAGTCATATAAATAATAAGATAAAATATTTATTTAATCTTATTATTTTCATGCATGATAGAATATTCGGAGGGCACAGCACTTGGGGTTTTCATTGCACACGCGAGAGAGATACAAACTAATTAGCTTCAATGCTTATTGATTGAAGAAATGGACAGCCTGTTCCATTTTTATGATATTCGCCACCAGCATATCATAAAAATGATGTTCCATTAATATTAATTACAAGTTAATTTTTAAATATAATTTTCTATATATCTTTGAAATCAACTATGACAGATGTTCCAATAATAAAACCAATAAACATAACTGAATATGAATTCAAACAATCTAAATATGAGCACGTGCCAAAATTACCATTTAGAAGTATTATAGTTGCTTCTTCGACAGGCGGTAAGACTGTCCTTATTCAAAATTTAATATTGAATGTTTATAGAAATTCATTTGCAAGAATATTTATATTTTCACCCAGCGTCCATAACGACCCTACATTTACAGAAGTTAAAAAATATATCAGGGATGAATTGCACGTGGATGATGAAAAAGAACAAATTTATTTTGATAATTATAATCCAAGTGATTTAGAAAATGTAATTGAAAGACAGAAGAAAATAATTAATTATATGAAATCTAAAAAGATAAAGAAACTACATTCAATATTAATCGTTATAGACGATCATGCCGACGATCCTAAATTCGTTAGATATAGTAAATTATTACATGGATTGTTTACAAGAGGCAGGCACGATGCAGTAAGTGTAATTTGTTCAACACAAAAATACAATGTTTTAGCGCCTATCATTCGTTTAAATGCCAGTTCATTATATATTTTTAGGTTGAAAAATGCCAGTGAATTAATGAGTTTTATTGAAGAAAATAGCGCCATTGTTGATAAACAGCAATTATTAGATATGTATCATCAAGCCGTTAATTTTGCTCCATATTCTTTTTTCTACGTGAATATGAATTCAAAAGACATTAACAAAATGTTTCATATCAATTTTGAACAGGCATTTCAAA